CAAGATCAACAATTATGTGAACACGTTCCACCATCCCAAAGAGTTAGTTTAATTTGCAAAAAAAACAATCTAGATATTGTATATCTGATGTTAAATCGCGTTACAAGACATGTACATGTTTGAGTTTTTAATGAAGTTCTTCATCAATTAATTACTAAACGAGCTTTATTGTAAAATATTTTCGCACATATATTTGTGTTCATACATCAATTCTTTTCGAAAATATCACTTGATTGATAATAATAGTCTTTATGATAAAGATATTGATGTTGAATTTATAGTTACTATTTGTAATGATTTGTCAGGTATAGATGATAGTTCCAAAGAAATAAAGATTACTGTTATTCATTATTTTACTTTTTTCTTACTGGTTACTCTAATTTTAAGGACTGATATTCAGAGTTTTTAGAACATATTTATTTTAAATAAGAATCTTCAACTCATATTACTAAATTGTTCATGTTGTACTATCATCACTTGATGATGAGACATATTTAGGGATTTTTTTCAATCGGACAATGATAAAAGTTTTGTTTCGAAATAATTCGAAAGAAAATCTAATCAAGAGAGAAATCCAGAAAATATAAAAAAAGACTTAGAAATTATTCATAACAGTATGATTCTTCGTTTCTGTATCAATTTTTGATGAAATGATAAATTAACCATCGTCGAATAAATATTCTTTTTGGTTCTTACTCACATTGATATATTATTATTGTAAATCTAGCTTATCTAGTTTTGTCTCTATATATTACATTACACATTGTAATATAACTATATATCTCTTAGATTCTGCTGCTCAGAGATATTTCTAAAGTAAAATCAATATCTAAATAAATCTTAAAACGATGAAAAATTAATGTTGCATTTTCAATGTGACGAATTTCGTGTATCCATGTTTCGTGCGCACAAATTTTATTTTGTTTTCGTGTCTGAAAAAGATGTTATAATTGCTGTTGTCATTGATCGTTGTATTTGTCTTTCTTGTTATCATTCGTATTTCTAGATATGCTACTAGCACCGACTTCATAAAAGGATTTGTTTACATTATTCTATCAAGAATTCTTGTAATGCGAAAACAAGAAACTATGCTTATAACTTGTTTTCTATTCTTGACGAAACTACTCATTAAAACTCAGTATTGTAGCTGAAAATTCACGAAAAGCTATTTACTTGTTAACAAAGAACAAAAAAATACAAGTTCATCCAGAAAACACAATAAAGAACATGTACACATTAGACCATTTTTTTGTGATTACGATTTCTTAAATTATTTTTTCGTTGCATAAAGAACAAACCAGAAAACTTGATTCGATACTTGTAAAATTTGTCTTTATGATGAAAAGATACAGTAAAACACACACACTACAATATAATTTTTTATTCACTTCACTATTTCATGTAGTGAGAATTGAAATAAGAATGCAATGTAACTCGTTCGTAAATTCTCAGAGAACAAATTCTTTGTGTAAAATTGAAGATATATCTTGTTAAGATTCTTTTTTTGAATTACAAATAAATAAACTATCTTATAAGATTTTCAAGCAAGGTCGAACTTAGTTATGGTAATTTCTTCACTTTCATTAAAAAGCCACATTTTTTTTTATTTTTAGAAAGTTTTACCTCAACAAATTCTTTTAAACTTTCAGTAAAAAAGATAAAACGTTCAATGAAACAAAAATAAATCAAAGTATTTATAAAATCTTCTTTTCAATTCACATATACAACATGACAGAACAATGAAAAAGAAAAGAAATTAAACAAAATAATAAGACACTACTGTCAACTGTACTTTCTTAAAGATGATTGAAACTTTCAATTATTTTGTATTATGATATGACCATTGCTTATACTATTGTGATTTCTATGATTATATAATGATGAAAAATGACTCGTATAGAAATTTGAATAATGTAATTTTGTTCTCAGTTTTTATGAATCTATGACATTTGTTTTCCACATAGTTATTTCTCAACAAATACTTTGTAGAAAATTCTGATCAACTGATAAATAAATATATTGAAATTAGATTATGTTAAGTTAATAAAGAAGTACAGTTATCGAGTCGAATTACCAAATCAGTTTTACATCCTTCTTATGACTTCATACATCTTAGTTTTCGCGTAATTATTTATGAATGATATCAATTTATTATTTAAACTTTAAATTGAAAAAAAAAGAACATGATTTTATTTGATTATTATTGTTTATGAGCACAAGCCATAAAATTTGGTTGATTATAATAAAAGTCGATTGTTTTATCAGTACATGCTCTCCTCCAGTTGGACCCACATGTGGACAATGTATAGATGGTAATAAAGATACAAAATATGTATGAACAAAACGGCAAATAACATTTCCTTGATCTGCTCTACCATATGAACCATAAGGTATTTGTGTTCTTAAAAATTGTTGACAATCATTGAAAGTTGAATATTGTTGTAATGTTCCAGTACAGAATCTTTGTGTAACATTACATATCGTATTTATTTTTGCTTCACGTTGTTCATTTGTACGTGGATCTAATGTTAATCCAACATTTCGTATTTTGTCCATCATATCCACATACTTTATAATTTTTATCAAAAGCAATAGTTGTAAAAAAAGGCCATTCGTGTATTAGTACCTAAATGTGCTATAAATTCAATGTGTGTGATCAAATATTTTTCATCATAAGCAATGCGTGCTAAATCAAATGATTGAATACCATATTCTTCTGCTGATATGTTCCGTATAAATACTCAAAAGCTAAAATTGTGCTTGGAAATGTTCCAATCGGTATAACACGACCAGATAAACCTTTTGGAGATATATATTTAGATTATATATTATTATCATTGAATAAAACTTGAGAACAGATTGGAGGTAATAATGATGATAATGATCGATATGTGGCAGCGTATAATCGTTGATAAATGTTGTTTTTATTCTGTGGTAAATTAGGTCATTTTCGACATTGACAAAAATTCACCATTATGAATAGAAATAGTAATAATTGCCAAAATGATAATTTCATTTTTATTTGTCTTTATTGTAATATTTGAAGACAGAGATCTAAAAATAAAATAAAGAAAAACAAGAAAATGATAATGTTAATTGTATGCCGTTGTTTAGTCTTCATATACTCGACAATAAGAGTCTCGGGATTTATCGATTGTTTCTGCTTGATTGGACATGTTTATCATAATAGTATATTTTGGTCGTTATTTGCCCCTGATTAACATCAATGTCGATGATAAAAGTTTCATTCTTAGAGATGAGTATTACAAAAACCCTACATTATTATTAGCTGTTACGATTGGTTTATGCAATTAATGGGTTTATATTGATGAATGTAGAACAAACAAACAAATTTGCAGTGCATAGTTCTATATATATAAAACATTCGAGTATTTTAAAATATAAGCGAAGAAAAAAGCACAATTAAAATTATCTAGGATTTTTTCATCGCAACATTTTCTTTTTCATGACTACTACTCAAATATATTGCAATAGAATGACATGAAACTTTGATAAGATTATTGTGAATGATTCGGAAGAGATCCTTCCTGAAATAAAAATAGTGTTTTTTGTCACGAAAATAAATATATATTTGTTTCTTTCGACTTTACACAATCGTTTTCAACCCAATAACACCACATAGAATAAAAAATGGAGAAAAACAAAACAAAATAATTTCTTGTTTTAACATAAATCTACAACTATAATGTAACATTGTTTAGAGATGAATGAAAATTAAATAGGTATTCGCACACTTCCCCGCTGAACAGTTGCCCGCCGGGCAGATGCCCGCAGGACAGTTGCGCGTAGGACTTTTTCCCGTAGCGGACACTTGCCGGCGACGGACACTTGCCCGTCGGACAGTTACCCGCGGCGGACGCTTGCTCGCAGTGCATAGTGAATAGACAATAAGACAATAGCTGTCGACGGCTGCCGGTTTTTTCTCTTTTCTTTCAAAAATATGTCACCTTATCTCTGCTATAAATAGCGTGTGCTTGTTATCCTGTGGATCATCATCTTAATCGACCATTGACTCAGTATGACCACCACCAAAGGAAAGCCTGTATTTCTTGAAAATGGCTACGCGTATATCGTAGAAAGATCGTCAGGTGATAAAATGATTTGGTGCTGTGAACGAAAACGACATGGACATTGCAAAGGCCGATTGCATACTATCAACGATCGTGTCGTTCAAACAATTGGCATCCACAATCATGAACCAAGAGCCGAAATCGCCGAATTGATAACTGCAAGAACACAAATGAGTCAAGATGCAAAAACGTCGAGCAAAGCGACACATGATATTATTGCCGATGGAGTTAGTCACTTATCAAATCAAGCAGTTGCATCATTGCCAGATCTGCAAAATCTGAAGAAGACAACTCGACGTATTCGTCAAAAGGCTCAAAATCCGTATGCATTGCCAGCGTCACGTGATACAATTATTATTCCACATGACATGACAAAAACAGTGGCGAATAGAACATTCCTTCAGTATGACTCAGGATTGACAGACAAACGAATGTTGATTTTTTCAACGAGAAAGCAATTGAAAATATTGGAACAATCATCAAGCATATTCCTCGATGGAACGTTCTCGGTCGTACCGAATTTATTCTTTCAATTGTACACGATTCACTGCGAGTATTTGGGTCATGTTTTTCCAATGATTTATGCTATGTTACCAGGTAAATACGGCTTTTAGAATTTTACCAATGGTGGCTTTTTTTTTAGGTAAATCAAAGAAATTATATAATGAAATGTTCAAATGGATTATTGATATGAAACCGAATTTCGATCCAGTTAATGTGAAATTGGACTTTGAACAAGCGGCTATTCGCACCATTCGAACGAAATTTCCACATGCCAATATTAGTGGATGTTTTTTTCCCCTGTGTCAGTCTGTCTATCGAGCCGTCGAACGTTTCGGACTGAAAGCAGATTATTCTGATGATCCACTACTAGCTCAACAAATTCGAGCTCTTCCTGCTCTGGCTTTGTTGAATACGGACGACGTTATCGATACATTTGAAGAATTGAAACAGCAATTTCCGATCCAAGGGAAGCCTGTCTTGCAATATTTCGAAGAAACCTACATCGGTGAACGCAATCGAGAAGGTCGACCGCGGAAAAGGCCTCAATTTGATGTGAAACTTTGGAATATTCATCAAAGTACTTTACAAGATGGTCATCGAACAAACAATGTAGTCGAAGGATGGAACAATAGATTTGCATCGCTAGTTGATTGTGCACATCCGAACATTTGGAAATTTTTGAAATCGTTGAAAAAAGAACAATCAATGGTCGAAGCTGAACTAATTCAAGCTGAAGCCGGGGTCAGACGACCGAAACGTTTGGTCACCGAACGTCAACAAAAAAGAATTTTGAATATTTTGAATGAACAGTCGACAACAAATTTGGATAAAGTATTAGCACTAGCTAATAACATTTCGCTGAAGTCGGCCTAACTTTTTTGTCTTACAACTGCTAGCTCATTTGTACATGTAGTATTGAGATGTTGAAATAAAAGAAACGTTGAAAGAAATGAAATTAGGAACTGTTTGTTTCGAAGAATAACGGTGAATAATCGTTCGTGGAAAATTATTTTGCGGGCAAGTGTACGTTTTTAACAGTGGCAAGCAATTGTCCGGCGAGCAAATGTCTCACGGGCATGTGTCCTCTGCTGGCATGTGTCCTCCGCGGGCAAGTGTCCTACGGGCAAGTGTCCTGCGGGCATATGTTCGGCGGGCAAATGTTCTGCGGGCAAGTGGCCTAGATTCAATTAAATAGATGGCTCATATCCTCTCTGCATGTTTCATTATTATTATATTTAGAAAATAATTGCTAAGAGTGACAGACATTTTCATATAAGAGATCATTGCTCAAGCACAATCTTGAATAGACATTTTTCAAATGACAGCTGAAAATCAATTGTTTCAATTGATATGATCAAAATCATAATGCTTTCCGAGTATATAATATGAAAAAAAATTCGGATTTTCAAAGAAAATCCAGCAACTTCAAAAGAAAAAAATCCGATAGGCTTTTGTATTACAATCTTTGATGAAAAAATAAGTGTCTTGTTTTTATCGATAGATCGTTGATTCATGTGACGTAGATTATTTTTATTCTTGTTAATTACAATTTAAACTGATTAAATAATAAGATAACTGATGATTTTAACTGTCAAGTAAGCTTGCACATTGTATTAATCAAAAGCATAGAGGGTCATAGATTGTCAGATAAGAAATGAGTAAGACAACATGTGATGGCGTAGTACGTTGTTTTTTTTATACGTATGGATTATTAATGATATCAAATGACACAAAGATATTGAGCAGTTTTTAATGTTAGCCTTCAATTGATATATTCTGAACACCACTCTTCTTAGTTTCATGAAGAAAAAAAAAAAGTGTTGTTATTAGATGATTATTTTGAAAATTTTAAACAAAAATACTAAATTAAGTGATAAGTCAGTATCATATTTTTTTGCATCGATTAAAACTAGACATCAAAGTGTTACATATGATAATAGTCATATCCCAAGCAGACAGACATGTGGATTTTTCACGTTTTTTGAACTAAAATGTCGACTTTTAGTCGAAATTTGTGCGTGTTTTCGTCGAATTTTTCAACATTTTCATTTTTTTCCACTTTTTTTATGCGTTTTTTCTGCTCAATTCCGTTAAATTAATGCATAAAAGTCGTTAAAACGTCATTTCTAACAAAAAACGCCCAATATACCTGAAAAATTCAAAATTTTGGGTGCAAATGAGACACAATTTTTCTTATCAATATTTTTTCTGAGCAACTTTTTTCACATGAATATGCAATCAATTCAAGGACGGCACAAGCTCAATATGCTAGAGAAGCCAATAAAATTTTAAACAAATCTATTTTATCTTCACATTTCCTCTAAAAAATCAACAGAACTGCAGAAAAACTTTTGTTATCTGAAATTAATATTTCTTCAAGGTATGATATGCAGAAGCTTGAACATTATATTAATTGACAATGCATTACTACATTTCAACGAGTCTAAAACATTTCATTGGAAAAAAAATTGCTCAAAAGCACTCAGTGAAAACTCAACTCCTTATTAAATTTATCTCCATTCACTGAATATTGCGTTCTAGCCTTGGTACTCATGTAAAGGGTACCTCAGATTCAAACGATTAGTCTTTTTGCTTAAAAATCATGTGCATAACCATGAGTTAGAAAGATGAATATGCTGTTCTTCAAATTGTTTAACGGATTAACATAAGTAGCTAATCGATGTTTTTGATTGATAAATAACAGGTGTCTCTTCCGTAAATTTTCATTGGAAAGCTAAACAATCTAAATTGTAAATTTTCTTAAAGGTAAACGAAAAACATAGAAGGAATGTCAAATGTTTTGCATATTCTTATTAACAAAAAATACCAAAGATCAGACATTCTGTTTCACCCATTCAGTGCTAGTTAATTAAGTATTATTTAGTCAGCCTTAGACAGTTGGAAAACCATTTACAATTACACTATTGATCCTGATCCAGGAAAAAACTTTTGACATTGTTGATTATAAAAGAAAAGAATGCAAAACAATCGAAATGCTAGTTACAAGCTATCTAAATAATAATATATCAGATATGTATCAGTGGTGGGACCGGTTCTTCTTTTTTTTAGAACCGAACCGAAAAAGTTTTAAACAGAGCTGAACCGATTAAAAATCAAGGAGAAAAAAAAAAGTTTCAAAACTATTATTTTTTTCTAAGAATATTCTCCTAAAATTCTTTATTGAAGAGATGCTTATAATGTCATTGATAGTTCTATAAACAAACTAGAAAATTGTAGTAGAAATGATCTTAAGGACATGAGCATTTTCGTTCTCAGGGTAAAAAAAATTTTTGAATGATAGAAATCTAGTTTATTTTCAATAGTTAGTCAATTTTTTCTGTTAATCAAGAGCCGTTCAAGTTATTTTTTGTCGTCGTCGTTCAGTGCAGATATACATATAGGGGCTACATTTTATATAATACACTCATTTTAAAAGAAAATTAAGTAATATCTTATAATAATTTTTTACTACTTTATTAAATCCAGTTCTACTCTTAACTTAGAAGACTTATATAATAAAGAGAACCTAAAATTGAGAGAAATAATCTACCCATCATCGCAAAATGAACAATTTCAATGACTTTTTAGGCTTTACTTATCGATCTATTTCGAAATATCATTTAAGTGATATTTTCTTAATTAAAATGTTCATTGTTATATATTCCCTGAACGTTAAAAATAATGTTTTCGTTATCCGCTTAGAGTTATTACAACATGACAATTAATTGATACTTATATACATATATGAGTGCTTCATACTGAAATGCAGTCTGTAAAAAGGTACACTGAATGAAACTAATAAGTAGTTGAGTAAAATCAGAAATTAGCTACACTTTCTTTATTCACTCTTAGTGAATATGTTTGTTACAAATCCCTCTCTGTGTAATGAAACTTGATGTTTGTAAAATCTTCGGTTCACTTGAACCGAAATCCAGTTTTATTCGAATTATCGTCTTTTCTTTTTCTATTACTTATACATGTATTTTCATACATAAGAGAGTAAATGAAACACAAGGAGAGAGAGAGATAAACAACTGTCATCTACTCCAGCGTAGACTATGTTATATAAAGATAACGTCCAACGTGTTCTTTTGTTAGAATGTCCTAACATTTAGGACAGAAGAAAAGTGTTATAATTCATTGAAATTATTACGGTCTGATAGGAAAGGAAACAGAGAGAGAGAAGAAAAGAAAAGAATAAGAAAAAAAAGATGCAAGAGCACTCGAATAAAGTTAAATGTATTTAAATAAATATTTGGATAGAAATTCGTTCCGAATATTTGGAACCGAACCGAAAAATTTTTAGACCGGATCGATCATATCACTGATATTTATAATAGGAAATACAATCAACAGGATAAAAATTAACCAAATCATGATACGATGGATGAATTTTTATACACTAAGTACAGAGTCGTCCTGGATATGTATATGCTGGATCAATTAGTCGTACTCTAGTAAAACTTGGTCGCTTGGAAATTTTTGGAAGAAATAAGTTTTTATTTCTCTCTCCTCTGAATGTTTTTGGAGAGACCAATGTCTATTCATTGTAATATTTGTGCGCTGTCTATGAACTGACTTTAATTCTTTTAGTGAGAATGGATGAATATTATTCCAGTGTTAGAGGGAACTTTTAGAAAAAAGAAAGTCAATTTGAAATAGCATTAAAGTTTTTTTTTTATTATTTATATGATCTCATGTCGAACATGAATAACAGAGAACGTATTCATCAAGATTAAAAACAAACATACATGAGATTGGATCAATCGTCATATAACCAGTACGTAGTCACACTAAATATATTTGTTGAATTGAGAAGTTTTACAACAGTGTACGAAAGAAAGTATGACCAATTTGAAGAAGCAATGAATGGTTATCACTTCCGGGAAAATTTCTGTAAGGAAAGCAATTGCTGTCTTGATAGGGTTGATGCACTGTTCATAGTAGTCATTAACTACACAGTGGGATACATGTACATTTGCAGAAGAAGACTTCCACCATCAAGTGATGCGTGTATAGTAAAACTATTGCAGACTGTTAATATTTGAGTAGAGAGTACCAACTTCAATACATCCTTTTATAGACATAGCGAGTGTAGTGCTGCCAACTGGCATATGAACATAACGCAATTGAGGTTGATAATATAGATATATATACATCAGATAATGGAGAAATTTTTCCTCTACAGTTCTACATATACCCTGTTCCAAAGTCAAAGTCTCATAGTCACCTTGAACTATATGAATTTATAGCTCTAATACGTGATCTGGTAATTGAGTTTAGGATAAATTTGAGAGTGATAAATACATAACGTTTAGATGAAGTCTACGCTAAAAGCTGGGCTCATCCATTTTTCACTTCAATAGAGCTTAGCACACTATCCGAGCACTAGTCATTCTTTAGATACGAAACGATATATTATAGAGGGCCCTAGTATTGTAAATATTTTCGATAATTTGTCGCGATCAGAAATCTATTCAAATGTAAGTTTTCCTATTGAGATTGACCTCAACGTGGAAACCAAATTTAGTGATTGTAGATAAAATCTATTCGTTTATTTATTTGTTTTAGGTAGACAGATTTCAATAGCACAATGTGTGGTGAATATTTTTAACGACACTTACGTATTTTCTTTGATTTAGATTATTTTCTCTATCAACATAAGCAGTAATTGATTTCTTAGAAAATTCATTTTTTATCATTTAGATCAATCTCAATATGAAAATCGATATTTACTATTTATATATAACAATTGTTTATTTTTGATTATTCAAGTTAATCTCAATAATACAACGAACAGTAAGCACTTCTTGAGAAAACTTATGTATCTTTTTTATTTTGATCACTATCTATAGCAACATAAATGGTAAGTA